GTCCGAATGTTGTCGATGCGCCGGCTTTAAAGTTATTGATCCGTACTACTACGACATCCATCACGTCAACACTTCAGCCAAAAAGTTTTAGCAGCACTTTATGAAAAAGCTAAAACTGATATTGTCAACAAGCCCTGGACCAGATTAAAGCCCCGATGATGATGACGACAGAGATTCAACCACCTCATAACAACTGTTCAAGAAGAGGTATTGTTCTTTTATTCAGAGAGTCAGAGTCAGAGTTTCTTTATTGTCATTCGCACCTCATGTGGTACATGTGGTGGAGCGAAATTATGTACACAGGGTCCCAGTTACATCCAACAATAAAATGTATAAGAAAAACAGTAATAACATCTAAGATATGAACTAAGAAAAACATCAACTAAATATACACTAAGCACTCATAACATAAAACATTGAACATCAGCACAAACATGAACATGAGTCTGTGAGCAGATGTGCACGCATGAACACATCAACATTGAAACAGATCAGCAGCAACATGAAACAGATCAGCAGCAACATGATATGTTTTTTCACAGTGATTATTCTGGTTAGAGATTCATGAGTCTAACAGCCTCAGGGTAGAAGCTGTTCCTCAGTCTAGTGGTTCTACACTTAATGCTCCTTAACCTCCTTCCTGAGGGGAGTGGGGCAAAAAGTGTGTGTGCTGGGTGGGTGGGGTCCTTCATGATGCAGGTGGCCCTCTTCCTGCATCTGGAGGTGTAGATGTCTGTGATGGTGGGGAGACTGACTCCAACAGATTTCTGTGCAGCCTTCACCACTCTCTGCAAAGCTTTTCTTTCTGCAGCTGTGCAGCCTCCATGCCACACATTGATGCTCGAGCACAGGATGCTCTCCACTGCACACCTGTAGAAGGAGGTGAGGACTGAGCTTCCCAGACCAGCTCGCCTCAGCCGTCTGAGGAAGTAGAGTCTCTGATGAGCTTTCTTGATCAGGCTGGTGGTGTTGTTGCTCCAGCTGAGGTTGTCATTCATGTGTACACCCAAGTACTTGTAGCTGGAGACCACTTCCACCGCAGATCCTCTTATGTTCAGGGGGGTGTAGGTGTTTTTGTTCCTTCTGAAGTCCACAATCATCTCCTTTGTCTTCTTCACATTGATGTGAAGGTTATTCTCT